CATCTTTGCCCTCACCTCCCTCCCACCCTTTACCAAGTAGGTTATCTACTTCCGCCTGGGCAGTCCCGCTAAAGGGAGGGAGGAGGAGTGCAAAGGGGCGGGGAGTTGCTAGCTGGCCTTTGACTGAGGCTAGGCAGAGGCAAAGGCGAACTTGGAAGGAGAGAAAACAAAAATCCTTGAGCAACAGCGAAGAGGGAGGCACAGAAGGGAGGAGGGAGGGAGACAGAGGGCTAGAAGAGCCAAGAGGCCTAGTGGGAGAAGACAAGCCCAGCAGACTGGAACTGAAGAGGATCGACCAGTCAGCTTCCTATCTAGAGACCTGAGTGACTCCCAGACCAGTTGTTGCTAGGTGCCATCAAGTCGTTTTCAACTCACAGTGACCCCATGTGATAGAATAGGCCTGCCCCATAGGGTTTTCTTGGCCGTAATCTTTATGGAAGCAGATTGCCAGGTCTGTCTTTCGCAGAGTTACTGAAACCCCTCCCCCCCCCAAAAAAAAAGAAAAGAAAAAAACGACAGCCATAGAGTCGATTCTGAGTCATAGCGACCCCTCCTTGGGTTTCCAAGATAGTATTGCTACGGAAGTAGATTGCCCAGTCTTCCTCCTGAGGAATGGCTGGTGGGTTTGAACTACCAGCCTTCTGGTTAGCAGTCAAATCCTTCTGAGGACTGGCTGGTGGGTTTGAACTACCAGCCTTCTGGTTAGCAGTCAAATGCTTTAGGCACTGTGCCACCACTAGGTGCACTTGAACTGCCACCCTTTGGGTTAGCAGCCAACCACTTGAACATTTCCACCCCCAGGGCTCCTTGCCCAAACCAGAATAGGGCTAAAGATCTCCAGACTAGGGTGGGCCAGGAAGTGTGAGGCAGTGGCCATGCCAGCAGCACCCTAAGCCACAGGACAAAAGTGGCACATCTGCTGGTAATAACTTTATGGGATGGCTAGGGCACGCAGGTGGGTGGGCAAACACACTGTTTTCTATTAAAAAACAAACATGGGTATATATACTTGAATAGAAGGCAAAACCAAAGCAAAAAACCATGCACGTCATTTTAAAGATAATACAGGCTGCAAAGAAATGTTTGGCTTACAGAGGATCTTTTTGGGCAGTATCCCAAACTGCTAGGAGGGTACACTCTCCTCTGCCATTTGAGACCAGTGGGTTGTTGTTGTTATTGTTGTGTGCCAAGTCGG